GCATCAATCTTAACATTATAAGTGTGCAATATCTGTACATAACCAGTAATTATACCTGCATAGCACATGCCGTACTCTCCCTGTGGCTGTGATTGATTCCTTTTTGAGATGAACTTCTGATAAACCCTATCATTTGTTCTGGTTCACGACTGACGAAAATTCACCCTCGGGGATCAACAGAGCATCCTCAGAATCATACGTGACAACATTTGTACTGTCAGTCAGTCAGTCCTCAGCTGGCTCTGATTGATCTCATTACTGGTGTTGTTATTTTTATGGTATAAGGTGCCAAAGTTTCTCGCTGGCACAGCTCCCACATTATATAACAAACAAAATTTATGCCGATGTGAACTTTGATAATGAACATCTTCTGGAGTCATATACGAGAAGCTAGGACAACGTATTGTTTCTGGTCCAAAGCAAACTAAATATATGATGAGATGATGACAGGATAATATTTGGCTCACTGAAGGAAGTGCCTCCTCTGATATTTTGTATTTTGTATCTTGTATCTCAGAAGAGGCGTGGCTGTGGATAATTTAAGGGGACACAGATGCAGATGCAAATTAGCTGAACTTTCACTCACTTTGAAATGTCAAATGTCTTTTGGACGACTGCTAGTTTTGACATTATTGCAAATTTTACTACATTTCAGCAGTTATAAAGGTTTAAATTAAGCCGTACTCGCAATGCATCTTGTGCTCCCCACCACTTGAATTTTCCTTTTTAAACATCTAAGATCGTTTCTATTAAACTCGTTCTAGAAGTATTTCACCAAAAAAGCAAATATTAGAGTACAAAGATTTCTGTGGGGTTAAATTTAACACTTTTAATACCACATAGAACATAATATAATATCTGTTGTTTAATGATCATACCTGCAAACATATGAAAGTGTGACAGAAAACCAGTAGAGATGATACATTTATTATTACATCATATTTTCAGTACTTCTCAGCAATAATTCCTAGACATATACTAAATTAAATTAACACTAGATCCAGATAAGTTGCATAAAATAGATTAACTAATTAGTTAATTTACATGTTTACATTTGCCAATTTCAAACTTTTCAAATACATTTTAAGGCCTTTTCTGAGGAAACTGTATTCAGTGCTTTTCATGATTTGCAGATACCCTGAGTAAATTTTCCATCTTGTTTTCCATCATATTAATCATCTTGTGACACATTGGAGGGGTCCTTGTCCCCAGTTTGGGAACTACTTGATGAGCGGATTGACAAAAATGTTGAGCTGTTTTAGGCATTTTCTTGTTCTAACTTTTAAAATATGAGTATTTACTGCTTTTTTCCATTTTATTTCACTACTAATTGAAAATTTTAGGGTTTTATCACATTCTTTGGACATCTTCTTGGGCTCAAAGAACTTGTGGTGTACCATTTTTTCCTATTTTTCAACATTTTCAGACTTGATGATGAGTCAAAGTTAGTTTATCAAAGCAATAATTGGCATTACAGACTGATAACAAAATATATGTTTTGAATAATGAATGTTTCTGCCCAACAGAGTGCTTCCCATCACTCTCCACACACGACCACAAACGTACCACTGACTCCCACTTTCTTGGAAAATTACCAGCCATTTTTTAATGTAGAGTAATTTAATGTTTATACTACTCTGAAACTAAGAACCACAACTAATAAAAAAGAAGATATTTTAATCCTCAAACCCTGCATCTGCACAAACTACTTTCCACCTGTAAACTTCAGGGCTGTTAACACCTATGATCGTGAACACTTGACCTCAATGACCTGTAAGTACAAAAGTAAAACTGAAAAGAGACAAATAAGCACCTTACGGCTTAAACGTCTCAGTTGAAGAAGGTAATACGGCGGCGGCCGTGTCATTTAGGCCTAGCAGGAGGCCTGTACGGGGGGTAGGTGGTATTACCTGAGCTATATCATTTAGCTACAGGTACCTGGGTGTAATGCGGAGGCCGTCACTATGTTATTTACCTAAACTGGCGTACTGTAGGCAGGCAGTAAGTGCAGGCTTCTGTGTCAGACAGTAATTGTTGTTTGGATACGGGCTGAAAGAGACCGAGCTACAGCGTGAAGCTTACAGTTAGTCTGGTTTTAGTCAGATGTGAACACACACAGAGGTCTCAGATGAGGTTTGTTTTTTTGGAGGGTTTTTTTTTTATAGAAATAATTTACATATACGTAGGCTTTCTGTCATGTTATCAGTACTAATGTATGGTTACGTTTTGTTTTACATCAGAATAAAGCCAAAGAAGGAAGTGGAAGACCACAGGTGGTACGTTAACATGTGAATACAGCATTATCTCATCGCGTCTCTCTATCAGTGAAACACAATGTGATTTTTAGTTTAAGTACACACATGTTAAGACCACATTTTGAATTTTTTTGTCACTCATTTCTTGTGTTATTTGCTCAATTAAAATGTATGTAAATAAATGATATTACACCGTATTGATACCTAAATGAATGACCAAAATCAACAGCTTTTATATACTCTTTTTTATATATTTTTCAAAAAATTTATGTATGTTTCAAAAAATCCCAAAACCTCCCACATCTATATTTACAGTGTCAACCCCTCTAACCTGGTGATTCTGAAGCACTTTTAGGGGCTTGTTAATGTGTAGGAATTCATATGAAGCCAGCAGGTTTATACTGACGTGTAAAACGGCTGCAAAACTTTCCTCTTCACTGTCACTCAAAGTCATAAATCCTGAGGTAGAGCTCCTTGTTTGTCGTTACCAAAGTGTAAACAGCTGACAGGTGGAAAGTGAGTCTCTAAATACTGAAAAAAGCCTGTATTTAAACTTAAAAATATGTGCAGTCCTTTATCTATGAGCCAATCACCTCGCACTGTCAACACCTCGCTGGGATGTCATAAGTAACAAACAGCTGATGTTATTTCCCCCCCCCCCCCCGTCTTTCTTATTCCTTGCCTGGAGAAATCACAATAGTCTATATAGATAAGGACTGTTGAAACATGTATAACATTGACTGACACAACGCTCGCTTTGATATAAGTCCTGTAGTGATGTGTCTGTGGGTGTTGATGTGTGTAGCTGCGAGATGGAAAGAGATAAAAATTGATAACCTCCGCTGATAACCTCCCCTCCTCAACTGAAATAAATGCTCCTCTCACAAACTAATAACTGTTTGTGGTGTGTGTAGCTGCCAAATACAGAACCACTAACCTCTGCAATATGTATAGGGCAATAAATATGAACCAAACATTTGGGACAAACAAGAAATCTGCTATCATGAATAATAAACCAAAGTTTATTGTCAACTGAAAAATGTGTTCTGTGAAATCCGTTTTGCATCTTTAATCATAAGCAATGGAGAAAGTTGTTTTTTTGTATAACGAGGAGTTACTGATCACAGAACAATTTAATATCACTGTAGTTTTATGAGAAAGTTGGGTTGAAGGAAAAACTCCCCCCTCCACTGTCACTTCTATAAGTACAGGGGATCAACTCTACATATAAAGATATTTAAAAGAATACCATTTGTATATTGATTGCTGACAGCATGTTACCTTAAATTTGTTATAAAAACTTTGTTTTTCTCATATGCCTCCCCAGTGAGTGGAGAATCCAAAAAAAGGCAAACATTCTCCATGAATTGAAGTAAATGGAAACTACATTTAACAACAGCAAAGCTATATCCAAACATCTCTTTACAAACACTCACACACCTCGTGCAGTATAATCCAAGTCTTATTTATCTAGTGGTGTGCTCAGTACTTCTCAGACATATGCATTTTCACTAAAACCTTACTATTCAAAACACTGGTAACACTTTACTTGAAGGTATCTACATAAGGGTGACATGACACTGTCATAACCATGACATGACACTGTCATGAACCTGTCATAAACATCATGTGCATGTCATAACCATTTATGACTGCTGTCATTAAGTGCCATTCAGTTATTGTAATGACAAGTTGGCTTTGTTTGGGTTGCCTTGATTATGACAACTTGACATTAATCAAAGTGACATTACCAGAAGTTGTCTTTGTCATGACAAGTTGACATTAAATTGATTTGGGATGTCCTTATTATGACAACTTGACATTAACCAGGATGACATTACCAGAAGATGTATAATCATTATGTCAACTTGTCATAAACACAAAAAGAGGTGTATTTCTTGTTAATGTCAAGTTGTTATGACAAAGACATCTTCTGGTAATGTCACTTTAATTAATGTCAAGTTGTCATAATCAAGACAACCTGAACAATACCAACTTGTCATTACAAAAACCAAATGACACTTAATGACAGCAGTCATAAACGTCTATGACATGTACATAATGTTCATGACAGGTTCATGACTGTGCCATGTCAAAAGTTATGACAGTGTCATGCCACTCTTATGTAGATACCTTCATGCAAAGTGTTACTGAAACACTTCCATTTCCAGGTAAAGTGCCCTGAGAGTGCCTGAGTGTGCTTATGAGCTCTGTTTGAGCTGAGTTCAAATTCACATGCATACTCAAGTACTCTATTTGCATGAGACTGTTTGTACAGAAGTGTTTTAAATCAGAATGTTTTGGCCTAACTTATGTGTCTGAGAAGTACTGGGCATAGACTGGACAAATGAGACGTGGATTATACTGCAGGAGTTGTTTTGATATAGTTTTGCTGCTGTTAAATGTCCTTCCCTTGTAAGAATATTTGCCTTTTTTGGATTCTCCGTTCACCGTGGGGGCAGATTTTCTACATGATTAAACATGCTGTGAATACTTGATATACAAACAGTCATTTTGTGGGTGTCATCATTATTGAAAGGAATTGAACACCTCTGTATGTCTTCGTGGATCAGGAGCTAAAACAGTGTTCTTTGTGAAGACGCCATAAAATGGTAACTGACAGTGGAAACTTTTTGTGTATTGATGATAATGTGCTGGAGGCTGTTATTGGGCTGTTGGAAACATAAAGATGGATTTTACTGCACAGGAACCAAGACAGCTCGATACAGATGAGACATGACTCACCCTGCTGCCTTTCTCTGGGTTGCACCTGCATCCTCCGCTACAGTCCTGGCCACCACACGGCTCGTCAGACTTCCCCACACCCTGCAGAAAGAAAAGAGACTCACATTACAAACAAGACCAGGTATTTTGGTGTACGGACGTCACGCTTTCTTTTCATTTGAGCCGTTTCACCACCTAATTGCAACAAATTGCCAAATAGCAAGAGTCTTTTCTTTTTCAAATCCCTTCATAACTAAAAACAAATCATACAAACAAGTAGAAAACAGAGGCAGAAGAGCACGTACAGACTCAGGTAACAACTCCATGAGTCATGTGGGTATAAGGACTAGTTGCATCAGTGAGAAGATGGCAGATTTACGGGGACTTAAACAGGATTTAGTATCCAGATCCAGTCGGTGCTGATTGAAAAAGTGTTCCTTTAAAGGTCAGATCTAATTTTGTATTAAACACAACATGTACTATCAGGTTTCCCTTTGTGTTTACAGCCTTCATTTGTCTCTCCTCGTGCCTTTCTTTTTTGGGTTTTCCGACTCGGTGTGTAACCGAGATCTGATCCCTTCAGCTCCTCCATTTGATTAGTAACAGAGACACAAACCAGTCCTTAAACACAACCAGAGTCAAGCCTCTAACCAAAGAATGGAGCCAGTGATAGCAGCAGCAGCAGCAGCCCCAGGGAAGCCCTCTAGGACTCTACATGACTCCTTTCATAATGTTACTGTGGTGACCCGGGGGACGTTTGTTTTCTCAGCCAGGCTGACCAGGACTGAAAGGCTTCGGTACATGAGGCTCAAATTGAGTGGATCAAATAAATGGCACATAGGACATGATGGTGAAAGTGATTTAATTTGACAAAAAAAAAAAAAAAAAGGGAGATAGCAGCGATGAGCGGTGATGGCCACCTCAGAAGGTTCAGAAAATTTTAAAAAATACAATGTCTGTTAATGAAAAAGGTTATCCAAAGGTAAGAGACGAAAAGGTCCGCCTCAAACTGTATGACTGACGAGTGACTTCTGTGATTTGAAGTGCAGAAACAAGCGATTTTATTTAATTACAACCACTAGAATGCCAGATAATTAACTGAAAATTGTTGTTTCCAAGGTCAAGAATGAACTTTAAAACTCAACTTTGAAGCCAAACTAACAAGAAATCCTTTAATTGCTCAAAAAAAAAGGAAATTAAAAGCACAATTAAATAACACTTGCAAACATTACACTAGTACAGGCGCTTTTCATGATTTATATTATAAACTCTTACTTAGACACTGCATGTGATTGTGTTAATTTAAATTTTTGGGCCTTTAGTTCAACAAATTTGACATAAGGCATTCAGTATTTTAAATTCAAATTTACTGCAGATTGTCAGCCTTTGAAACGGCAGTTTGATCATACAAAAAAATCTCATCTAAACTTAAACTTATTGGCTTTTTCTGGAGCTTTCAACCGTATCTTAAAGTCTTCCTCAGCTGACTGAGTTTGCTCAGTTGTCATGGAGATATGTAGCTTAGTAAGTGGACCTTAACTTAAGAATTTTTTCCTCAAAACATTTGTACTTTTTCCTCTATCCAAGCCTGCACCAGCATTATAATTGAAAGATGTACTTAAGATCCCTTTAACAATTGTAATAAGGTAAGGAAATTACAATATTGCCACAAATTGATCTTCCCAAGTGGACGGAGTTTGCTCAATTATTATTAACAAAAAAAAAAACAACTTTACATTCTGCAGAAAAATGTCCAGTCTCCTTCCATTTTTGCTAATTTTATATCCTTCTATATCCCCTCTTACTCACAGCAAACAAACATCATTTTTAGCTCATAAACTCTGAGTGAACTGCAGATTAACCTTTCTGTGTTCAGGGTGGCATTCCTGAGATATCTACCAAACATCACGCAGTGCTTTTAGAGGTTATAAGCTGACGTATGAGTGGCATAAGCTCATATATATGAGGCTCTTAAAACTTTAAAATGTCCTCTATTCACTTATGGACCACATGGTGAGCAGAGAAATATGTTGTCTTATTTCTCTTCTACATATCTCTGTGTTTGTTTGTGCTAAATACTGTGTGTGAAACTTAACCTGCGCTATGGCGCATATATGTAAATAAATAATGAATGAACTCCTTATGATTATGGGAGCAAATGTGTCATATGAGTCCATAGTTCGGGGGTCTCTTCGGGGTCAAACTCTGGGGTCATGGCTGGCATTTCAATGTGATTAGTGGATGAAAGGATGCTGGCGGGGTGGAGAGACACAGAGGAGAAGGGGACAGGAGGGAGGAGGGGACAAAAGGGTGTTAACTGGGTGTGATGGAGGTTCAGAGGACAGGGGTGGATGAGGAGAAAGTGCAGGGTGTATTAGTTCATATGACCACAGTCTGCGAGTGCTCATACCCACAATAATCAAGGTCAAGGACCCTCCAGGACCCCTGTAAATACTCATCAGCTGGTCTAGTCTGGGTCGCAGTCTAATATAATACCAGCCTGGGAAACACTGGTGTGAAAGTGCCAGAGAAATATTCAGCTAAAGAGGGTCAATAAGATGATGATTGATAGAACAACCTTGCACAATATTGAGTGAGACTGCATTACTATTCTATATACTCATATATATTATATATATATACTTATTTATATGTGGTAAATTTGTGATCTGTTTAACTAATAGCTCCAATAGCTGGCAAGAAAGCTAGTGAACACAGAAAATGATGCATCGCTGTAGATCAAACTACCCTGTAAAGGATTTAAAATGAACAACCCTAAACATCTACAACAGTATAATGCAATATGTGGATAATCCCAGCCCAAAAAATCATATATAACACTGACAGGAAACATTTTACTGCACAACAACTTTTACTTTTCATACCTGAAGTACATTTTGCTGATAATACCTTTATACTTGAACTTAAGTATTGAATGTGGGACCTTTATTTCCACCACTGCTGCCAACTAGGCCACTACTTCTACTACTACAACTACTACTGGACGTAAAACATGGCGTGAACATGGTGCGGAAGGAAGAGAAAAAGAGGAAAACAATCAACAAGGAGAAAGTGAGCTTGGCCCAAAGCAGAGCGAGGAGAGAGGGAGGGAGAAAGAGAGAAGGAGGGGAAAGGTCAGTGGTGCTGGTCCTGCTTTCTTCCCTCTGATCTCCTCAGCTCCTCTAATCACAATGACAGAAGGAGGGCAAGAGAGGGAGAAAGTGAGCAGGGAAACAGTGAAATTTGGGCTAATGGAGGGAGCAAGAAAGGGGAAAAGAGAGCGGTTAAAGGAAATGGAGGGAGGCCAAACAAGAGAGGGCGGCTCAAATGAAGCTTTTGGCAAAGTGGCTAAAGAAGAAGAAGCTAAAAATAGATGCAGAGCAAATGATTTGTGGTGCTAATTGTATTCCGAATTAAGACCAAAAAAGAACAGCATAGTAAAACAAGCAAACAGAGTGAAAACTTTTAAATTTAAGGGAACTTCAAGCAAATACATGGTTTAAAAGTTAGGTAAAAGACACAGAGACTGACAAAAGATGATGCTGTAAGTGCTCTTAGCTCCCATCTCTATATCATGTTACTCTTATTATTTAGCTCTATTATCCTCCTTTTGTTAAGGCATGAATACCTCCTCAGGTGTTATCCAATCACAGCGAGCTGCCTCAGATTGTTATGTGCCCTGTAGATGCATTGTTCTGGGAAATAATCCAGCGTCTACCTGAGTAAGGCGGAGATGCACTCAGCCACTGATGCTCTTTGGGTTCGCTCTGTCCACACCCAGAGTTAAAAGTGAAGGATGATATGGGCAAACAGATGCTAAGCCAGCGCCCGAGGGGGAGCACTCAACCCTCAAATACAGAGGAGGAAAACATGCACACATGCACGCAGTAAAGAATTATTAGAGGTAAATAAACGCTCACAGAGCAGGACACCTGAGTGCATTTGGACATGTAGATGCCGGTCATGCTGCATGAGTAGACACAATCTATAGTTGTGGGGACAAAAGCCACTCCCTTAAGTTAATGCTAAGATTAGACCTTAAAACCTGAAGTCTAAACCCTAAAATGGAACTTTAAAAAGTCACACTCACTTCACTAAAACTAGTCCTTACAAAGATACAAGTACAAGCGCACAGGCAAGCACACACAGGCACACATAGGCATTTAGGGTCGCATTCTACCATCAAAGACATATGAGGACAATGAGCTGATAACCTGGTTTAACAAATGAAAGCTGCTTGATCATCTCATTATCTTTCACCCACTGAAACACAACCTGTGTGTGTTTGTGAGTGTGTGTCTGAGAGTGTGTGTGCTCTTGGACTGGCCTTGATTAAAAAAAAAAAAAAAAAGCCTTACCCTGGGTGTTGTTTGCCGTGGAGTGTGCAGGGAGGAGCATGGACCGATCATGGCTCGTTCAACTGCTCTCGACTCACCATCGCACACCCCAATCAATCTCTGACACATTAGAAATTCTGGTCGGCCATCAACAGACAGAGTTAAAGCGGAGCTATGAGTCTGTTTCCCAAATTGAGTGCCTTTTTTCCCTCACTCAACCATCTTACAGTGTATACTCAGCTAGTATGTCGGTGCTGCTAACATGCTAACTTGTGTGTATGTGTGTGTGTGACAGAGAAAGAAAGAAAGGAAGACCAAGAAGCGGGAGCAGGAATCAAAACTTGGACCGACCTATGTTTGCAGAAAATGACTTTAAAGTTCTTTTTGGGACATGTGTCTCTTCATTATGTTGAACCATACCTTCGCTAGCAAACATTTACCTGCCTGCAGCCCTGGAGCTTTCATACGTATATTCATCGAACACTGTCAGTGGTCAAAACGTTCTGCAAGGGCCGTTTTATCGTCTATTGTACAAGTACAGTGTGAGCACTCAGGTCGTGGATTGATGATTGGAGCTTTGGCTTTACATCGCAGACAATTCACTTTGAGTTGTACTGAAAAAAACATTTCTAAAATTGTACAACGTATGCCCAGCTTCATGTCCTCTATTCAAAAAAGCAGTCACATGGCTCTAACTGATGTGTTACTGCCCGACACGGTACATGAGAAGACGTATTTTACATTCTGTTGCGCTGATCCTTTACT